AGAGGCCGTGCTCGTCTAGTGCATTTCCTGCTGCTGTTAAACAACAGCAACAACATGTCAGCCGTCGACGGCACAATCACTTCTATGGTTTCGGCTCAAGGAATTGCAAATTAACAAGCTTTTGTTCTTTGCCAAGACAACTTAAGTAGAGGTACCGTCCGACTTTGAAAATGGCATAAGAACAGACACCCGAAAAGACCATTAAAAAAAACATTCACTTTGTTCCACATCTTAATGAGGTATTTATTTCTTTAAGGAGGGAGCTAGTCGGGGAGGAGAAACTTGGCTCAGCAGTGATGATGGACTGGACCTGCTGTAACTGAGTCTCTAAAGTCAAGCAGCTGTCATGAATGGTGGCGTGTGGTTTAATATCAAGAAGGAAAACCCGTTTTTGAGTTCAAACTAATGCTTTCTACACTTTTTTCATATATCATTAAGTTGATTGACCTGATGGGCTGGCCAGTTGTCAGGATGTCCAGTGAGCCAGGGTCAGCAGGAGGCTGGGAGCTCTCCTCCGTGGGCTGGCCTGATGGGGGCCGCTTGTCCCCACACCACATGTGCAGCACACAGAAGGAGTCCAGCTGTCCTTCAAGAAGTGAAGCGCTTTGGCTTATCAAGGCGCTGCGTCCTTCCTCAAAGAGTGCGAGACCTGTGAAAATCAGGCGCCTAAACTCACCACCGCAAACGGCTCCAGCTCAGCTGACAGGAACACGAGCTGCTGTTGTGTGTGCTGGGGTCGCTGGGGTTGGTTTCCCACCATGCTCTGTCCCGGGCAGAGGCTCGAAGTGGCCCATTTTGGCTGCAGCCGGCAGGGGAACGGGCTCATCGCCCAGGGCGTCGGCTGAGGGCAGTGGTGCGCGGAGTCGAAGTGGTGGCACTCTGTGTGTGTGTGTGTGTGTGTGTGTGTGTGTGTGTGTGTGTGTGTGTCGTGCGTGGCGGGAGTTGTGATGTATTGGCTGGGGGAGGGTTGTGCTGTGATGCATTCTTTCCATTACCCAGACCAAATCAATGCGCTCATCCCCCCCGCCCGCACCCCCCTCTCCCACTGCCCCCTGCAGCCTTCCCATCCCCCCCACCCCTCCGCTGTCCCGGGGAGAGTGGAAAGTGCTGACCCGACCCCGTCAGGAGAGCGGGCCTGGCCCCCTGCCCGCGCAGCGCGGCGCTGTCTTCACACACGCTCCCCCCCACAGCCCCCACCCCCCCAGTGTGCGCACAGCCGGGGCAGCAGGGCAGCAGGGCAGCAGGGCGTGCTCAGGGCACAGGGTACCAGTGCAAGAAGCCTGTCGAGACGCGTCTTTATCAGTGCAGCCCGGAGCAGGGCTGGCCTCAGCTTCCCTCTTGACCACTGCGCCTGCTGTTTTCAGTCGGGCCGCAGAGTGTTTTTTTTTCCTTCTCCGTCGCATTCCAGTTTACTCTCCATGCTTGGGCCATCCTTCTAGACCAGTTTACAGCTCGTGTCTCACACGCAGGCCGCACCGTGCCCTGCCGGTTTACCCTCTGAGCGTCCAGCTGTTCACCTTGCCCGCACAGTCCGGGAGAGCGGGCCGCGCGTGTGTCTTGTCCTTTGGCAGACTCCAGCATAGCTGTCGACAAGCGGCTTCAGCCTTCGGGCTTTTATCTCGGTGTTCGAAGACGAGGCTCCTTGTTTTTCCAGGAAAGCAGAACTGGAGCGGAGACGAGGTTGATCTGGTCTGCCCTGCACACCGTTATGGGTGGTGTGTTTACACTTCGCCTCGCATCTCCGAACGGGCACACGCGTCCTCAGGCAGTGAAATACGACATCACTGTCAACTCGGCTTACGCCCGCTGCCGAAAGACCAGGAGCGAAGTGCCAAGGGGAGTCAATTTATTTAGAAACGGAGACCTGCTGGATGGAAAGTACAACGCAATACTCGATGGAATGCGAAAGGTTAAGTGCTCCAGCCAGCTGGCGGAGTGCTCCATGATATACTGTGTTTACAGAAAAACAGCAGTTTTTTACACAAATTCCTTTCTATCTAAGAGCCTGGCCTGATAATCTACTGTTTTGTTTTTCCATTTGAGTGAAGAGAGCTAAGCTGGTCAGACTTTCTGCTTTTCTTGTCCTAGGTCTGAACCCCAGGCCTGGCCTGCTGAGGTTTAGAGCAGGGACAGCTGCAGACTTGAGCCACAGAAGGCTGCTCTGGGCTCAGGACAGAGGGCTGTGCTAGCTGTTCACGACAGGGGTTGCAAATTTTATCTGTACATTTTCTTTTATAGCCTGGAGCATGTTAACAGGGCAAACAAACAAGAATTGATTGAGTTCTTAGAAACTAATGCCTCATAATGGTTACTGACAAAAATATAGAAGGTCCTTATGTATAAACACTCTACAAAGGTGCGTTTCAGTTCATTTTGCCTGAAAGAGGTGTTGTCTGCAAGCCTAGAACACATCTTTTCAGCAAGAAAAGTGGTACAAAGCTCTTTGGGTAAAGAAGGGAACAGAATCCCTCTACATCTGAAGTGCTGTACAGCAGAAGAGGTGGAGAATTTAGAAAACGCTCCACCAATTGAATAAGGAGGAATGTCATGGAGACCAGAGCTGTACTTAGTCAGGACTCCCAGGTTAAAACCTCTCCTGTTATGAACAGTTTCCTGGGATCTCTGAGGTCCAAGCAGTCAGAACCTCAGTTTCATGTCTGAACAGCACCTCTTCCACCTCCATGGTGTGACACAAGCTCTTGCTTTTTGCTAATTTCTTTCCGTTCATAAACTTGCCCAAAAAGAAAGAGCTAATAACTGTTTGAAAACAGGAAAAAACACGGAAATCAGTATCGGATTACAACACTAAAAACACACTTCGGCTTCAACAGAGCTGCAGTGCGTACCAGGCGGCCACAGCGGTATGACACAATTACACAACAAAATTGTTCAACTAGGCCAGATAACCTTATAAGAAGCCAGTATTGCTGTAAAGCAGCAGGGTGTTACAAAATGAGACTTGGGTTAAGGCATGTTATCATCAGGGCCAGCACCTCCGTCCAGACAGAAAGCCTTCGCTGGGTTTTGTTCAGCACAGCAAGAGTGATGAAAACCGGCGAAGAGGCCCAGCTGGACGCGCCTGTGTTCAGCTCAGGCTAGGAGGAGTGCTCTGCGTTCTGTAAAGCTAGTTCGCCTGTTTAGTCTGGCATCTGTGCGAAGGCTTTCTCTGCACAACCTCCAAGCCATTAGCACTACCCTGTAAATCACCACCCCCTTTTCAAACAGCGCATAAAACCGAGATTTAATTTGCCCAGCAACGCTGGATTTGTATATAGCCCTGTGGAAACCCAGCTGAGAGCATGGAAGCACAGAGTACACTGAAGAGTTACAACCAAGAGCATTTAAGAACTCCACCTTGTCTCATATCAATTTACACCACATCACAGAACAGTCTCGGCTCAAGTCTGGCGAAGCTTCTGCGCAGTCCGGGTCTTTTAAACCTGGGTTTAGACCTGGGTGTGCACTGCTCCTACACCCAGTAAAAGCTCTGCTGTAGAAAAGGGTCTCCACTTTGACTAGGAGAATCGTTCTTAATTCTTCTTAATCCGCTCTTAATTGATCAAGTTAAAACAAAACAAACTAAAACGAAATATGCAGAGGCACTCCAAACAAAAAGATTCAGTAATGTTGAGATATATATATATATTCTTGCTGTTCATTCATATTTTCACCACTTCTTAGAATTCCGCACTGCTGGAGAGCCGGAGCCTGTCCCAGCAAGCAGCAGGAGGAAGGCAGGTGGAAGGCTCACCTGGGTAAAGAAAACGGGAGATGCACTGAAACACAGAAACAAAGGGAGAACACACCTTGTTTCAGGAAGCTAAAGCTTGGCCAGAAAGGCAGCAGAACTGGCTGTTGTCGCAAACTCATTCACTATCGAGCTCCGAGGTCCCCCAGCCCCTCTGGGCTCGTCCGGATCTCTGCGGAGAGAATACTTCATGAACAGACTGGCTATGCTCGCCCATCATCATAAGCACACCTTGCTCAACTGAGTCTTCGTAACCCTTTGATTCCTGGATTTTAAGTTCTTCCGTCAGAATTCATATATATCTCAGAAAGACCCCAGCTCCAGGAATATCAGCAGGCTGGTGTGTTCCGGATACCACTGTGGGCCGAATTGAAGTGGTGCCTCCTGGACTCTTGCATTCCTCTGGTCCATCGTTCAGGATAACCATCAGTTCCTTTCAGGACCTGTGTACCTGAATCTAACCCTTGCAGGTCCTGTCTGTGCCTGACAGCTGGAGTTCTTATGTCTGGGTGGAGTTACAGGGGCCATGTATCAGGCCATGTTACAGGGGCAGATCGTGCCCATCGTGTGTTTAAATTTGCAACAGGCTGTTTACACACGTGCTTGGTGCCCTATGCACGCTTAAGATAAGCCCATGGGTGGAGGGTGTGTCCATCGGAGCACGTGACCTCCTGACCTCCTTCCTAATACAGGAAGTGCAGGCTCCCAGCACAGCGCCGTTCCCCTGTGGAATCTGGGAACTTGCCTGGTCTTTTAATCGGCAGGGACCTCAAAGGCAGGACTGCTATTATTGTCGCTTTTTAAATATTTAAAAAATATAAATCTGGACATTTTTCTCCTTTACAAGGGTGTCTGTTTTGTGCCCCCAGGGGAATGTAAAGGGGAAATTTACACTTCACATATCTGGGCACAGGCCTTGAGCACCAAAGTGCATTTGAAACTGAAGCACGTGGACATTGCTCGTTTGAAGAGCTTTTAGTGCTCGTCATTGAGATAAAAGACAAGCAAACCTGCCATTGGGAAAGCAAAGACCAGTGTTTGTGCTAAATGTATAAAGCCTGAATTGGCTTTACTCTGACAGCTCTCAACTCGCATTTTATTTAGCTGTGTCTGCTAAGAAGGGCCTGTTTCCTGCAGCTCTGTCATTTTACCTTGTCTGTTGCACTGGGCAGCCATCCTACTGTATATATCGAAGATGTTCATTCTGAGAAATCATATTACAATACAATTACCAGAAAAAATGACACTGACATATATTTAATATATATTTTATTTTATAATAATAAAAAAACTAAACTTTATTTACAAAATTGCATGGAGCCACAGATTAACTTTCCATTTGTACAAAAATGTTACTGCTCCTATTCCACAAGCCCAGAGGCTAGGAGGACTTTTCAGGCACACCTACCCCCAGTCTTTTCAAGCGTCTCCTCATACGCAATGTTCAGGGAGAGGCCTTGCTGCTGCGGTCATTTAAGACCAACAGAACTCACAACCTCTCCGCACAGGCTGAACACAGGATGGGGGGGTGAATGGGGTCTCTGGAAGAAGCAACAACAGCACTAAACAAACAGGAAAACTCGAAAGGAAAAGCGACCGTTTGTGGGGCTGCCAGTGAAGCCAGCGGGTGAAGGGCCAGGTGGATCCGCTGGAACAGAGAGGAAGACACGGGCGTCCACAGACGGGCCACGAGCAGGGCTCTTGAGCCAGCTGCTCTCTACCCATTGCCACTGCTGCAGAGGCCTGGCACTCACACTGCCTGCCATGAGCTCCCCCTCTAGACTACAGCCTGTTCTTCCTGGGTTGCAAATGCAACCAAGCCCAAGTGAGACATGTTTCTCTGTTGGGAACCAGACAGCGCAGCCACGTCACGCAAACCCCAGCGCGTTCGGAAGGGCCGAGCACGTTGCAGTCGCCTTGAACAAGCACCTCAGGAGAGACGGGTCTGAAACTGAAACTGAATCTGACTCGAGGTCAGGGAAGGCAGTTGAGTATTAGTGGACGAACACCCGGACCCTGGACTTGTAACCGGAAGGTTCTGGGTTTGAATCCCAGGTGAGGCAGTGCTGTTGTTCCCTTGAGCAAGGTACTTCACTCAGACTGTTGCAGTAAAATACCCAGCTGTAATAAAAATCAGTCACTTTGGATGAAAACATTAGACACATAAATGTAACACTGGTAATCTATGTAAGTGATCACTCTTAATAAGAAGGGAAGTGGTTTTAAGAAGTGGTTACTTTGCACAGCAAATATACACACCATATAGTTTACTGGAATTTTGTTTTCCAAATCAATCCAAACTGAGATCCCTTCCATACATGTATTGTAATACACTTCCCTTTCAAAGGAGATTTTCCTTCACACTGGCTCTGAACAGCTCTTTGTATCAGTAAAGACTGCAGGACTACTGTCTCAGCACTGCACGCTTCAGTACCCAGTCCGACGAAAACACCTGAAGCACTTTCCCATTGATCAAGTGGCGCAGGGGTTCACCACTATCAGGAAAGACGAGGGCTGAGTGGAGCAGCAGAAAAAGTTTGATACAGGAACTTGCTTTCTGTTTGGTGATGTCATTGTTTCCAGCAGAAGAACACGAACGCCAGGGAGCAGTTTCTTCTCTCTGTAAGTCATCTGGAGAGCTGGAACTCTGATTACAGGATGGAGAACAAAGAAGCCTAAATGTCTCTCTATAGGAGAGGTGGCAAGCCTAACAATCTATTTTACACCTGCTTAGCAGCTCAATGTCTTTGCAGTCGTGATAATAACATATCTTTATTAATTTCAATTGGTCCCTTGTCTCGTCAAGATCTTAAAGCACGTAATGTCCGTTTAACACTGCAGGCCTCCAGACTGCTCCGCTCTGGTTCAAGAGAGCCTCGCTCCCCGCAGACCACAGGAAAAACAAGAGATCCAGCCTTTCAACAGAAAGCCGGCTGGCAGCGCCTGGCCGGCCGAGGTCTTGGAGAGAGGTAATGAAATCTTTTTCCACGTCCAAAAGAAAAGGAAAGGAAAGGAATGGCAGAAATGTTCCTACCAGGGAAATACATCAAACAAACGAAGGGATTTTATGAAAAAAAAAACAACGCCAGGGGGGGGCGGTCTCCGGCTGCAAGGCTCTTCGCACACAGAAACCCAGAGAGGGTGGGAAACAGGGGGCGTGCCGGGGGGCCGGAGAGGGCGGGATGGCCTCTCGGGTCTCAGGTGGGCGGGACCAGCGCCCGCCCCCCGTCGCCATTAAAGCACGGAGAGGTCGTGGCAGGACTTGGAGCGCACCTTCAGGGCCATCTTCTTGTTGTTCTTGGCCACCAGCCGGTCCAGGAAGCGGCGCGCCTTCCTGGTCACGCTCTCCTTGCGCCTGTAGACCGAGCGCCGCCGCTCGTTGGTCTCCTTGCTGTCGCGGCGCAGGCGGATCTGCCGCACGATCCCCTCGAAGAGCTCCTGCACGTTGTGGTGCAGCGAGGCCGAGGTCTCGATGAACTTGCAGTCGAAGACCACGGCGCAGGCCCGGCCCTCTGCAGGGGGGGGGGAGAGAGAGGCGTCAGACAGCCCGGGGACAGGGGGCCTGGGGGGGGCCGCATGCGGCTCCCAGCTTCTCGTTCGGGCAGACGCGCATGGCGGCAAGAGGCCCGGTGCCCTCTGACCCCGGCGCTGCCACTCACCCTCCACGGCCACCTCACGGCAGCGCACCAGGTCGCTCTTGTTCCCCACCAGGATGATGGGGATGTCCTCGGCCTGCCGGAGGCGCCGCAGCTGGATGCGCAGCTCGGAGGCGCTCTCGAAGCTGGCGCGATCCGTGATGGAGTACACGATGACGTAGGCGTTGCCCACCTGCATGCAGTAGTCCTGCACCCACCTCTCGTCCTCCTCCTGGCGGGGGGGGGGGCAGACACAGGACAGGGGCGATGGGCGCGGTGTCTTCACACGGCTCACGCCCACGCCAGCAGAGCAGTGCTCAAGCGCCCCAGCTCTGTTCAAATAAACTCAATATTTGCGTAGTGGATGAATATAGAGTTGCTTCTTCCTTGCATACAAGTAGATGTTTTTCTGTTAGTTATCATGATCATTAACTGCATTTCTTCAACACTTTTCAAAAAGCGCTCGACATGCAGGAGGGGACCCGATTCACACACCACTGAAGTGCAGCCCCCACCTGGGAGACACCCAGCAGCCTTTCTGCCCCAGCAGCCCCCACCTGGGAGACACCCAGCAGCCTTTCTGCCCCAGCAGCCCC